CTTCTGCCCACGCATCCCCGATTTTCAAATCCAATATTTGAAGGCGCAAGTCTTCAGACACCTGTTGAATGTGATGGATTCAGGTAGGGCTCAAGCGTAGGATAATGAGCAATACGCAACACGCACATCAGAAGGTTATCTTGTACTGCTTGTCGGTCAATTGTGATGACTACCTGTCTTTCAACTGCATCATCTATTGTTTTCCTGAAGGCAGAAAATCTGCTGTTGAATTCGTTTTCAAGATCCAGCTCTGGTCCTTCAACCTGCAAGATCTTGCTTTGCTGAGCCGAAAGTTCTGCAGCCTATTGAGGCAAAGTTTTTTTTGCCTCAGTAAAAAATCAGTTCACAGAAGGGGAACTTGTACACTTACACTGGCCAAAGTCCTTTCTTCTACCATTGAATGAATCAACTTTAGCATTTCCTGTTGAAATTTTTCAAACTTCTCGGCATTCCTGGCTTCGCGCTGGGCTTCAGCTTCCTCTGAGAAGGATTCGACAGCAGAGACTCTGCGTTCAAGATGGTCTTCAGGCTTCAAAAGGGATCAAGCACGAGCACGAACTAATCAGAAGACTGGCTCAAAAATATGGGATAGGTATTGGTGAAAGAATAAAAATGTGGAACCAAACCTTATCAATTTCCATATCATCGCAGATCTGTGGGACCTCGTCCGGAAGTTCGAACTTTTCGGAAAATTGTTCGATAGCATTCTGCTGCTTATGAACAAAGCTTTCGAGTCCCTGCACTACCGTTTTTAGTTCTTTAATTTCCAAGGCCAGAGGTTCAACCTCATCATCCATCATAGTTATGTCGTGTGATGCATTTTGATTCGTCAGCTCTTGATGTAGAGTTGTAATCTCCCTGTGGACAAGGTTAGCCATATTCTTGCGATCTTCATCTCTCGCACCCTCCATAAGTTGTTATAAAGTTCTCGAATGAGAGAATGTCTTGTGATTCCAGAGAATCGAAGTCTGAACAGACCGCTAAGATTCGCGTGTAGTAAAAAGGGAAAACCTGAGGGCACAGGTATCTTCGTAAGACTACAGCGAACAGCAGGTCTACGACGATAACAAGACACTAACCTGAGGGCACAGGTATCTTCGTAAGACTACAGCGAACAGCAGGTCTACGACGATAACAAGACACTAACCTGCGAGCTCAAAGGGAATCGTGAAGAGCACGCGTAAGAAGGTATTAGGATAAATTAAATGAACAGTTTGATTTGATTCTTTTCGACAACTTACCTGAGGGCACAGGTATCTTCGTAAGACTACAGCGAACAGCAGGTCTACGACGATAACAAGACACTAACCTAACAACCATCACAAGACAAACAATCATAGAGAAAGATTAACAGAGATCAGAGAAAAATTAAGAAGAGAAATTTATCTACCTGCGAGCTCAAAGGGAATCGTGAAGAGCACGCGTAAGAAGGTATTAGGATAAATTAAATGAACAGTTTGATTCTGAGTTGAGAGTCGAGATGTTAGTAAAGGTAGAAAAAGGCTTATAAAAAGACAATAATAGAGAACTAATAGAGAGAGACTCACTGATTCTTTTCGACAAGAAAAGAATCAGAAAAGAGGGAAAAACAAAAATCAAAATGAGAAGAGATAACCCAAAAGATTCTTCCACTACCCCTTGATTCCATTTCCCGATTTGTCCACTAGCTCAACTGAAATACATCCACAATTTAACCCCTTTGGTCAACTTCCTACACCAAGTCCATACAACACAACATTTCTTCTTAACCGACTCATACTTCTTCTTAACCAACTCATACACCTCGCATCTGCACCTTCTGATTACCTGAAATGGATAATGATCTTTGACTAACAATGAAGATGGTAGACTCGTAAGAGGATAGTATCTTAACACACCCCCTCAAAGAGTATTATCCTAGAAATCGTAAACCCAATTGCTTCCTGAGATTTGAGAATTGTTCCTTTGGTAGTTGTTTTGTCAACAGGTCTGCAACCATCAAATGTGTCGGGCAATGCTTGATTGAAAGATCTCCCTTTTTAACCACTTCTCGTATCCAATGATAATGAATTTCAATGTGTTTTGTTCTTGCGTGAAAGATGGATTTAGAGGTCAGATGAATGGCGCCTAAGTTATCACTTTGAAGAACGGTGGGATTAGGATCAATGAAACCAAAACGAGACATCATGTTCCTTAACCACAGGAGTTCTTGACCGGCTTCGGTAATAGCCCTATACTCGGCTTCTGTTGATGATAGTGCCACAGTCGGTTGGAGACGGCTTCGCCAAGAAATAGGACCACCAGCAAGCACAAACACATAGCCGGTCGTTGATCTACGAGTATTGACATCTCCTGCCCAGTCTGCATCGCAGTGAGATATAGGACATTCAAAGCTACGTTGTCCAGAGATGATCTTGGGATAATTACCTGAATACACAATTCCAACATTTATAGTATGACATAGATATCTGAGAACATGCATTGCTGAATCCCAGTGCTGTTTGTTGGGTTGTTCGAGATGTTGAGACAACACGCCCACCGCATGAGCCATGTCAGGGCGAGTGCACTGAGCCAAATACATCAATGAACCTACTACGCTTCTATACGGAAGTTTTGTCTTGGCAAATTCTTGAACTTCTTCTTCAGTTGATTTCAAAATTTTTACGTTTGGAGACAGTGGAGTTATAGCAGGCTTAGAATTTGTCATTTCAAACCGTTTGAGGACCGTAAGAGCATACTGATGTTGAGACATTGAATAAGAGTGATCATCGATCCGTTGAATCTGAATTCCAACTACAGTATTAGCCAGACCCAAATCCTCCATCTCCCATTTCGCTGAGATCTCTACCTTAAAACGTGCAATATCATTACCCGTGATAGCAAGATCATCTACATGCACATACACAGCGGTGAACAACTTGCCTACTGAACGGATATAGATGCAATGGTCGATTTCACATTGATAGAAACCAATTTGAATGAGGAAGGCTTCAACATCATCCTGCCAAATTTTCGGAGATTGCTTGAATCCGTACAAAGATTTCTTCATCCTCCAGACCTTGCCGACGGTAGAAGCAGTGCGGTAGCCTTCTGGAATTTCGACGTAAAGCTCTTCATGCAGAATACCGTTTAGAAAAGCAGTGACGGCGTCCATTTGATGAATCTCCCACCCATTGATTGCTGCAATTGCGATAAGTAAACGCAAAGAGCTAGGTTTCCCAGTGGGAGCAAAAGTTTCTCCATAGTCTTGACCTGGTACTTGAGTGTTTCCCATCGCAACGAACCTTGCTTTGTATTTTATGCTTCCATCAACTAATGATTTCTTTCTGAAAACCCACAAGCCTCGTATGACATTTCTATCTTTTGGATGATCAACCAACTCCCACACTTCTTTATTCCTAAGGGAAGCAAATTCCTTCTCGCAGGCGGCCTTCCAAAGTTTTGCTTCAGGCGAATCCATAGCCCGCTTGTAAGATTTGGGATCAGGAGCCGAAAAACAATCTTGTGCCACGCAAGCGAAGAACGACTCAGTGATCCAGTCATCGTCGAACTCAGCACCAGAAGTACACATTCCTCGTAGAGTGTCATAAACCTTCTTTGAAGAACGCTCAGAACGACGAGGTTGAGTAGGATTTGAGGTGGGTAGATTACTAGTAACGGGAGCAGAAGGAGTCGATTCTTCATGAATCTCACCCGGCGAAGTGATTGGAGTTACAGGCTCTGTGAAATCTTCATCTTCGTCGTCGAAGAAACGAATTTTGACCGAAGTTCTGTCGGGTTCATTTGGAATACTAGGGGAGACTGACTGAATTGATTTAAACGGAAACACTTCCTCATTGAATGTTGAGTGATGAGTAATGTAGATTTTTCTAGAGGATAAATCATAAATCTGATAGTTAAAGTTATCCTGTTCAAATCCCACAAGTACACCTTCAGAGCTGACCGGAGAAAATTTAGATTGACGAAGCTCTTTTCTAATGAGACCAAAAGCTTGGCAGCCAAAAACTCGAAGATGATGGATTGAAGGTTTTCGATAAAACCACATCTCGAAGGGTGTTTTGCCTCCTTCAAGAGCAGCAGTGACACAGCGATTTGTCAGAAAAACAGCCGCGCTGCAGGCAAAATACCAAAAACGAATTGGTAATGCTGATTGAAGCATCATCGAACGGGCCCTGGTATTGACAATGCGCATACCACGTTCGGAAACACCATTTTCTTCTGGCGCATGTCCAGAAGTCAGGTGAAGGGTGATACCCAACTCTTTGAGTTTGGGACCAAGTAGACTGTTGAGAAATTCACTACCCCTATCGAGTGTGAATTGCTTCAGAGAGCAACCAGTCTGCCTTTCGGCAACAGCGATATACGCCATAAAAGCCTCATACACTTCTTCTTTTGTTTTGTCACTTAGAGGGTAGATATGTCGGTATGCAGAATAATCGTCGCAAAACAAAATAAAGTAATTTTCATTGTTGAAACCGGTAGTTCTGATGATACCACTCAAATCGACATGGACATTTTCTAGGAAGGTACGTGCACGAGGTCTAGTTTTGTTGTGAGGAATTTTTGTATTTTTAGACAGAGAACAAATATCACAATTTAAATTTTCATCTATGTATTCAAAATCCTCCACACTCTCAAGTTTCGCCATCAGTTTGAGGTACTTGCTGCTGACATGTCCTAAACGACGATGTTGAAGTGAAGCGGTTATTTCAGTACTTGATGCGGAGACTGAGGCTGAGTGTGGACCACTCACAGGTTCGAGTAGAATGAACATGAGGTTGTTATCCGAAATAAATCCGTTGAATAAAGCGAGACCATTCAGAACTAGTGAGAAGTTGGTGCTATCGTGAAATAATTCCCTCACTCCTTGTTTTTTCAACGTCGCTCCAGAGATCAGGTTTCGAGAAAGCTCAGGAACGTAGAGACAGTTTTTGAGTTCAAAAGGAGTTTCATCTCCAGCTAATAACCTAGCTACACCTCGGCTATGGACTGCCAAGGAGACATCTCCACCAGCTAGTTTAAGACGTTTGTTGGCATCGTCGATGTTGATGAGAGAGGACTGAACAAAGAATTTCTTGTCTTTGAACATGTGGTGCGTAGCACCAGTATCATGAAGGGCCCAATCTCGAGAGGTGGAGGAAAGAGCAGCAGTGACCGAAGCGCTGATAACTGGATCTTCCTCGAATTCTGATGGAGAAGCAGAGTAGATCGTTTCTTTTGAATCATTTGAAAACACATCATCGAATTCGGCATTGAGTGAAAGAAAAGCCATGCTGGCGGATGCATTATTTACACTAGCGTCGAAAACTTTCTTCACACCTTTCACTGACGTTGTCTGGGAAGTAAGACTCGTTGAGTTTGAACTAGAATTTCCACCCCCTGATTTCGCACGAATCTTGGCCAGAAAAGCAAGTCGTTTATCGGCGTTTTCGGGTTTGGACCAACAATTCTTGGCGAGATGAGGTCCAACGCACTCATCCGGAGTACATTCACCGGAGGTTTTCTTCGAAGGACGAACAGAAACAGCATTCACTTCTCTAATTGCCGCACAAGTCCAACCGTGGCGTTCTTCATATTTACGTAGATAGGTGCCAACGCCTTCACGAGTTAAAGGGACTACCGTGTTGTGTATGTAATCCTTAGTTTCAGCGGACAAAGAGGGAATCGCTCCAAGAAGCATCCTCGCTGATTGAATATCAGAGAGTTCGCCCTTCAGGCGATAAAATTCGCGAACGAGATTTTCAAACTTGTCGATGAACGAGGTGAGAGTGTCTGCCTTAGTAATCTGGCAAGCATAAAGAGCTCTAGTTACAGCCTCTAATTTATCTTCAGAGATTCGGTTGTGATAGCTCTTGAGAAAATTCCAACATTTGAAAGGATCATAAATGATTTCAGAAGCATCCTTGGGGTCGGTAAGGTGATTACGGGTCCTGACTTTGTTGACAGTGTCTAATCTTTGTAAGATATACATGGTCAAGTTAAAAAGTGTTTTCTCGTGTTCCTCGTCGGACAGAGTTGCTTTTCGAAAATTTTCTTTTTTGAAATAATGATGAAATTCAAGTGATCGAAACACTTCCATCAAAGATTGACTCCACTCAACGTAGTTTTCGTCAGTCAAATCATCAGACACTTTGTACTTGCTTAATGCATTCGTCATGATTTGGGAGTATTTTTGAATTTGATCACCGAACACTCGAGATTCGGCATGATCGGACATTTTGTTTGATACAGAATCCTTGAGATTTAAGGGATCTGAAAGAACGTCAGAGGACAGAGGATTTGATAAATCCTGGCGAGCCGTTCCTGATGAATCGGCGGAACTTGAAGTGCTTGAGCCTTCGGTTACGGTTGAGTTGTCCTGAGAATCGTCGTCGGTGAAAGGATCGGCGTCTTCGGCACTCATACAAGCAATCTGGTCGAATAGATCGTTTGCACTCTCGCTACCATATAAAGTTCTCGAATGAGAGAATGTCTTGTGATTCCAGAGAATCGAAGTCTGAACAGACCGCTAAGATTCGCGTGTAGTAAAAAGGGAAAACCTGAGGGCACAGGTATCTTCGTAAGACTACAGCGAACAGCAGGTCTACGACGATAACAAGACACTAACCTGAGGGCACAGGTATCTTCGTAAGACTACAGCGAACAGCAGGTCTACGACGATAACAAGACACTAACCTGCGAGCTCATAGGGAATCGTGAAGAGCACGCGTAAGAAGGTATTAGGATAAATTAAATGAACAGTTTGATTTGATTCTTTTCGA